AAAAAAAAAAAACACAGACAATCTAACATAGGTCGATCGAATGTATCGCTAACACTGGACTACATTTTAGCAAAGCTCGCAAATCAAATCAGCTAAGCTAATACAACATCTATATGAAGAACCTCAATCATAACAAAAATGGAGTTCAATGGAAGATAAACATCCCTTCGTGTAAAGGCCACAGAGAGAGCCAACTGCGCGTACCTGAATACTGCGCTGCGCTTGAGGTTGAGGCTTCAGGTAAAAACCCTACATCACAGGCTTCAGGACTTTATAGTCTTCACATGGACAAACTAGAAATGGTTTTAGGTATATGTGGGCTTCATTTTTGGGCTTCATTGATCCGTGATCTAGGAGCCCACATTAAAAACTTAAAGTTGGAAGTGAATTTCTATTTACGGTTCCCTTTTATTACTCACCGCCCTCCACAATTACGTTTGCCCTTCACTCTCTCTCTTTACTCTTTCCCTCTCGACTTTCTACGGCTCTTTTGGTTGTCAAAATTTTTTTGAAAAAATGCCAAAAAAATACCATGACATCGGCAAGACATTGAAGATTGACCATGTATTTTTTTTATATTTTTTTACTTTATAAATATTTTTTTTTTGCGCGTCCGGCCGGACCATGGGTCGGACGCACACGGTTGCGTCCGGCCAGGCCGATTGGACGCGACCATGTGCGTCCGGCCTGTCCGGTTGGTCGCGACCGGTTGCGTCTGGCCCGTCCGGTTGGACACAGCCGTGCGCGTCCCACCGGTTCGGCCGGATGCGCAAAAAAAAAATAAAAAAAATAAAGTTATTTGTAAGGTAAAAAAATATAAAAAAAATACATGGTCAATCTTCAATGTCTTGCCGATGTCATTGTATTTTCTTTTAGCATTTTTTCAAAATTTTTTGAACGGTTAAAAGAGCAGTAGAAAGTCGAGAGGAAAAGAGTAGAGAGAGAGTAGAGAGTGAGAGTACTGAAGGGAAAAAAACGTCCAAACGGTGACTAGTAATAAGAGAGCAGTGAATAGTAATGCCCCAAGAAAAAAAGATAGGGTAATTTACATAGCTACGGTTACTCCAAATAAAATCTTCATATATATGATATACAAAATATACTTTAGTTAAACTTGTATTAGCAAAGAATGTAGTCGGCATAAATATATACACAAAATATACTTTAGTTAAACTCGTAATTTACCTATGTTGATAAACATATACACAAAATATACTTTAGTTAAACTCGTATTGGCGAAAAGCGTAAATATATACACAAAATACACTTTAGTTAAACTCGTAATTTATATATGTATGTATGTATTGTAGTTGAACTCGTAATTTATAGGTTATCAACATGTCACATGTATATATGTAGTATGTACATTTCGTTATAAATTGATAATATAAATTTGTTTCGGCATGCATATAATTATATCATTGGAGTTATTTTTTTATGATTTAACAAAAAAATAGAAAAATACTTTAGAATAACAGTCTTTTTTTTTATTTACGAGTTTAATGCTGCAGAAATAAAGAAGAAGAAGAGGTTCGATGCTGCGGAAAGGAAAAAAAAAAAGAAGAAGAAGAAGAAGAAGAAGACGACGAATAAGAACAGAAGAAGAGCGGAGAGAGAGGGAGGGTAAAGAGATGTGGAAAGAGAGTTCGACACAAAGATATTGCAATTGAATGAATAAGGTTGATTAAGATTTACACTGATTTCGGTGAAATATGCTATTCTACGCGGTTGCCGTAATTATTTACTTCACAAAATATGGTATGAAAAATGACTTTTCTTTTTCGTGTTTATTTTAGTTAGTTTCATGTTTTTACTTGTTAATCGTAGTTTTAAAAATAAAACTCATCGTAGTTTTAAAAATAAAACTCAGTTTTGCGTATGTGCAGGAAAGTTTTACTTAGACAGTAAGGTATGTAAATTTCTAAAACAAACACATTTTTACTACAACTATTTGTTATAAAAATAAAATATGAATACTTTTTTTTTTAAGAAAATGTCTCTATTTAAAATATAATTTTATATTTAAGAAATACTCACTTCGTCTTATGTATATTTATGTTTATTTCTTTTAATGTTAAATTTATTACAGTGTCTCTCAATAATAGAGAATTAACTAAATTTTAATGAACCAGAATCAACATGAAACCAAAATTTCTCTAAGAGCACTCACAATGCTTTGGGTCTAATTTTATATATATGGCATATAAATAGACTTAAGTCCTAAATGACATGGACAAACCCAAGTAAAAAAACTCAAAAGCTATTCAATGCAAAATAAAATACTAGGTCTAGCATACATGACAACCAATAAAAATGCTCTAATATATTTCATTTATTAAAAGAAAAATTAAATGAGGAATAAATGATGAGTGCTTGGGTTTGTACTTGGGTCTAAAATAGACCCAAGTGTGGACTATGTCTTTTTTTTATTGCCACATAAGCTAGACTAGGTCCACTTTTAATTGCATTGGGAAACACTTTTTTATAGACTAGGTCTATTTCCTACATGTCATGTAACTTTTTTTCTAAGAGACCCAAAGCATTATGGGTGCTCTAAAGGAAACGTAATATGTTATACTATGTGAGTCAATAAAATAGCAATAAATCAAACACATTAAATAATGCAACCACAAATTAATGAAACAAAAATCATCCATATATCAAGAGTTATCGCGCAACAAATGATATGAGCTTCATACAAATATATGAAGTTTCAGTCAAAAAATAATAATGAAAAATCATCTCCCATAATGCATTTTCGATTTTTATATCATCCAAATTTCAATTATCAAACCCTTTTTATTCGAATTTGGAGTTTGATAGCTCAATTAGCTATGAATTCTTCATTTTTGGTCTCGTTATCGATCATGCTCCCGCTCCACCATTGTTGCCACCACTACCACAACTGGTGGCTTCTGACGAAGATCTCCTCCTCATGCAGCAAATCATTTGATCAATTGTGTACTGCAGAAGGGAAATCCGATTACAAGATTTGATGTTAAATGGATAAAGAAAATGATCAGTAAGGAACGATCAAAAGGAAAAGGATCCGGAGATGGCCCTGTGGATGGATGGAGCGGTCCCCGATCCTTTGAAGTACTTGTGAGGCAGGTGTCCTTAAATAAATAATTGGAAAGTCAGTTGTACCCTTACAAATGGGGCATAATAACCGAAAATTGCTCAAGTGCAATTTTTTGCGAACTTGTTCGGGAAGAGTGTCATGAAGAGAAAAAAGTCGAGTGGGTAAAGTGCAAAAGAACGTATAGCTAGGTGGGTAAAATGTAATATTTTCAATCATAATTAACAGAATGAATTACTGAAAGGTCAATTTTACACTTAGAAATGGCTGGTGATTACAGAAAATTGGGTAAGTACAATCTTTTGCAAAGTTTTATGAGCAAAGTGTCACAAAAAAAATTTAGTGGGCAAAGTGCAAAAATTCCTAAAGTTGGGTGAGTAAAATGTAAACTTTCCCTATTTGCATTAATTTTAAAAAAATTTACATGAATACCGTAAAAGATAATAAAATTTTTTATCCGCAAATATATATTACGCTTGCTGAAATAAACTCAATGTGTTTGTTTACATTGTGGTGTC